GTCGCAAGCTGTGTTTGTCACAGCAAATGAGCAGCACTCCCACAGAAGACGCGATTCTTTGCGACAAACCAAGATGGAGCAAAAGTGCAACGCAGTGCGCATGCAAGCCGGATTAGAAAAGAACCCCAGGACATGGCAGGAAAGCCAACAAGAACCCCGAGACACAGATTCCTATTGAACGAGACAAGGCAAACCTGAGCAAACAAGAACCCTGAATCGGAATGCTTCTGCCGGGTTGCCGTGACGGAGGTGTAGCGATTCGTCGACAGCTTGTCCTCGCCGAACAGCAGGGCTTCAGCCACCCCAATACCTCGCGTGGGACTCACATGCCGTGCACCCCAAGCCCCATGTCGTCGTGGATGCAAAGTCTTTCTTACAGCTTCTGCAGTATATCTGGATCTTCCTCTGGAAACCTGTTGCCACATAATGACAGTTCGGAATTCGGCTTCGGAGGCCTGGTGCTGCGAACGCCACGGCAGTCATTTCCACATGCCGACCTTGCAGTGTGCATTCTACGCTATTGCACCTGGTTGCACTGACAAAAACCCACACACAGCGGATGACAAACAAGAAAGGAAGTTGCTCCAAGCTCCGCCATGTCTGGAATGTGACAAGAACCGACAGAGCACACAACTAGTGGGATGCCGTTGTGATCTACTGGAGGCTGTTGTGAAAGCAGTAGCAAACACCACCAACACAGGCACTGCCATCCACTGCAATCACTGACAGCAACGTCACCACAGTAGCATCAAAGTCTTCCGCCAAACTGCCTTAGTCATGAGTAGCAGTACTACCACCCTTTGCAGTGTCTTGTCGCAACTATCATGCATTGCTGTCCGTCTGCTCAGCCGCCAGTCTCTATTCATCGTCACCGTCACCATCACCCCAACCTACCACTGGCCTTACAATCTGCACGAGCACATCTCCTTTCTACAGTACACTGACCCAGTCATGCCACAAACAATAAATAGAATGATGATGAAGCGGGCTCATGCCCTTGCACTTCATGTGCCACGGTCGCAACAGAACCTCACCAAATTTTCCCACCTGCATGTTGCAGCTCTTCTCGCTGAACTTCGGCAGCAACGAGCTTTGCGATGCCGCCGCCCAAAGAGTGCCTTGCAGCTGCGCGTGTAAATGCCTAAGAGCCGCTAGATGGCCTGCAGCTGATCTCGGCCAAGCGCCCAGTGATGTAGAAATTCCGGTCCGGGTGACTTTTCATTCCTTACGGCACTCGGTGAATGCATCAACCACGGCCCACATCCCGAAACCCTTTTGAAACCGGACCCTAAATGCCCCAAGCCCTTTTTTGCATCCAGGCCTATTACGATTAGTGCCCGAGAATCCTACACCATGGAGCCCCTCCGGCCATTGACAGGCCAGGCTCGCGCTTTCACCTCATCGAGCAGGTGCATAAAGGTCAGGGTGAACCTGGCATCCTGACAAAGCTTCGAATCGACAAACTCCTGGCGCTCGTCTATTCAGGTTTGCTGGTCTGGGAGCCACCAAGGCACGTCGCAATGCAACGAGTGGCGATCCGATGGAGCTTCAACTAACAGCGTCGCTATGGCTCCTTCACCCAACTAGTAACTAGTAGGGAAATAGCAGCTACAGTAAAGCTTTCACAACACCACGTGCAGCCTGCAGCATGTAGACGCGACGACAAATCCAGGCAATTGAAGGGCCCCAAAACTTCACAACCTGATGCTAGCAGTTGCAATCGTCACGTCAGCTGCACCAGACGGAGCCTAGAACAGTTTTGCCAAGCCACGTTGGGGCCCATATTTTCGAAAATATACATCATGAACACTGGCAGCCAGAGATCCATATCTTGTAATGCATCGAAGAAATCAGTCGTGCCGCGCACGGCGAAAACTGCGGTGCCTCATGCCGGGCACTAACTTGGCCCGCTCGCAATTTAGGAACGATCTCAATCAGAGTCTAGACACTATTGTCCGCAGAAGCAAATTCGAAGAATGTGGTGACATCCGGGACATCTTGTTGCCCCTTCCTCAATACCAGCGGAAGGTGAGCCTCAGTCGAAGTTGGGATTGCCGACGCTTGACCAGCCAAGGATTGAGCTAAGGGTCGTAGGCGACGCGCCAGCCAGGGAAGTATTGGCTCAGCAAGTTCTGCACATCGTTTGCGGGTTCCTCAGAGAGTTTCGCAGTCCTGGTTTCACCCAAGTCTGCCATGCCTGCCCTTCCCGGGCCGACGAATGCCGACGATGCATTCCGAGGGTCGTAGGTGAAGGCAGACATCAAACCGAAGTCGGCCTCAGAGGTCCGGGAAATTAACTTGCGAGGGATGGCCAGTAAAGAGGTTCCCAAGTTCGACTGCAAGACCATCCCATGCCCCATGCACTTCAACTCTTCTGTTTGATCGTGTGCAGGAAGGACAGAACTTAAGCAAAAAGATGCCACGATCTCACGCTGGACCCGACTCGGACGGTTCCCCTCTCAACTTCATGTGATGCATGCGGCAACACTGGCATACCACACCAGGCCAGAACATGGAAAGTCAATCCACATCAGTCTCTTGCTCCCGGTTTGCGATGTGCTGACACATGGCAGGGAGACCTCCCATTTCATGTTGTACTTACACTCGAAGCCATCCAAGCCATGAAGCAAACGATCAATGAACAACCACCCAGAGTACTGCTGGAAACTCGGGAGCTTTGAAGTTTGCGAAAAGCCCAACCTCAAAGAACGCAACTACAAGACCTGTGACGCGCAACGCACACATTCACACCTAAGATGCAGACCTCGCGCACATGCCCCGACCCCTCATCTCATGTCCAACGACTTGCGCATTTTCTTCTATTCAACCGCAGTGCCACAGTCGCATGCATCGTGCTTTCAGGTTCGGTTCAGTATCGACGGTGCGCCTTGAAGTAGCAGCGGAGGACTTTCCCGTGTATATTAGTCCCGTGCCCCTGTTGTCGAACGTACGCGCGCTGCAGTGTTGCGAAAGTGCTCGCTGCAATCGTTGTCGAACCTGTCAAGAGGCTCGCCAATGATGCAGGATTCGCCAACACGAGCCCCTCTTCCCAAACCCGAAACACCAAACCCAGACAAATCATGAGGTACAAGAGATTCAAAGTCAGGGGCGCTGCAACCACACCGACATGCAGTGACGATAGCAGCTGAGCTTCTAATGAGAGCGTTGCTCCATTGTGGATTGGAAAATCCATCTGACAAAGAGGCCACCGGCCGCCCAAAGCACCGCGGTAGTCGACGGCATAGTAAACCTTCAGAAGGAAAAGCGAGTTTGGCCTTGAACTGAGCAGGACCGTTTGGGCCGCCACGTCCGACGCAGCCAAGCCACGCACTTCGGGTCACCCATCAAGCAGAACATAGAATCCGTGGCGGATTTCCGCTCCACAGCCATGCAGTTGCAAATGACACCTTGGTTCCGAGCACGCTCACCAGCGCGGCGGCGTCGTGGGGGAGCTGCAACCCTCTAAAACAGGAGAAGATTCGAAAATGATTCCTTTTGCAGAACCTGGGCACAGATCAAGGCAAACTGGAAGCCTGGGCTCCAAGACACTGTCGCTTTACAAGAAATTTGTACACTCCTAGGAAGCCTCGGGCAACGTGTCGTATCCAGGTAAGCCTGACGGACAAAACCAGCTCGCAAGCTCTGTGCTTTCCGGAGACTTCCTAATCCAAACAGCGCCAAGGACCTCGGCTCATAAATCAAATGCAACGATGGACATCTTTTTGCAGCGAAAACGTACGCCTCACTGCAGTGCTGCCCACGGCACCGTATCCGCTCTCCTGCTGCCAACCGCTTCTGCAAGCCAAACTCGCGCGGAATGAGGAGGATTCCCAGAAGAAGGCTATCTTGCCACGGATTCAGCAACCTTGCAATCAAGTAGTGCGTGCAAAAGCCAGCAAACAACTGCCCAGTCGATGGCGCCAGTGTCGACGAGAGGCGGGTTGTGCCACAAGACAAGCAAACCTGATCCATGCGAGTCAGGCCTCCCGCCGCTCCTCCCCTCTCTTCCTTCCTCTCTCTCTCTCTCTCTCTCACTCGCTCGCTCGCTCTCTCTCTCTCTCTCTCTCTCTCTCTCTTCTTCTGCACAGCCACAGGAAGTCGGGTCCCCGCCCTCCCCGCGCGCGCACGCGCACTGGGTCTCTTGGTCAGTGTGAACTTTCTCTACGAGCTCTCTCTCTCTCTCTCTCTCCCGTTTGCATCCAAGATGCAAAACAAGGTCAAACTGAAGCTCTCCAGAATTCCACCCAGCCAGGTCCAGGGTTTGAGGAAGAGTACCGCAAGCTGGGCCGTGAAGCATGCCTGTGTCTGTCGGCTAGTTGGCAAGAGCAGCAAGAAGGGAACTGGGGATGGATGCGCTGGGTTTCAGTTCCATGGGTGTGGATCATTTCAGCCAGCGTCCTTGCCATCCACAGTAGTAGTACAGTAGGGGAAGCTGGCCAAGGCTTCGGCTCCTCACACCTGGTTCCCTTCTCGGTTTCGGGAGTTCCAGCCATCCTTGGCCGCCCTGAAGAGCGGTTCTGAAGTGAGGGGGACTCATGTGTGACAGGCTGCCAGAAGGATCAATGAGCAGCACCACATGGAATACCACCATTCCAAAGATCCAGCTAGAACGCCCATGAAGAAGACCTGAAGTAGCGAAAGCGCCGAGGTGGCTGACACAATGGCACAGTATGGCACAGTCGGCCAAGGGACCATCAGGCACAAAGGCGCTCGTGCCTTCAGCTGGGACATGTACTTCAGCCCGCCTCGGATAACAACGAAGTGAAGGGCCCCCCCTACAGGTATAGTCACGCGGCTCTTCAAGAACTGCGCCAAGAGACAGAACATCTCCTCAGATGCACAGGGCATTGTGCATGTCGCTCCAGGCCGACACCCCACAAACAATTGCGACCGGGGAGCCCCCCACTCCTCCAAATGTCGGAGGCGAGCCTCTTGTGACCATCTCGAGCGGATCACTGGCTTGCCTGAGCACGGCCAGTCTTGATTGGATCTCAACAAGACGAAGACCAACAACTGTCAAAAGACATGCGAGCTCGAATGCCTATGTGCGTGAGGGTGATAATCATGGCGGTCACTTGGGCGCCGATCACAACGACAGCGGCTTTGCTGGTAACCAAGCCATAGAGAGTCGCCGCCAGGGCCAGCAGCAGGGGCATCACGTTGCAAATGAAATGGTAAGCGGTGCAACAAGGCACGCCTCGAACTCAGGACGTCCGTTTTTCTCGTATCTCTTGCATCCCATACTCCTATACGATGTTGCCTGCATCACCTTCCCCAAACAAGTGCACACAAAGCAGCAAACATCAACCGGCTTGTCGCCGCTCCAGGCTGCAAGCTGCTCCTCAGATGTCACTTCTTTCCCAGACCTCCCCACGATTTCACTGGCCACCTTGCTCGAAGCGTCCGCTTTCTTTACCAAATGCTCGTTGACCAGAACGTGACCGTGGTTCTCCAAGCTCTGGTTCGGCAACTGCCCCGTGTCCTGGAACTTAGAGAAGCGTTCTTGTAAGATGGCTTCGGGATTTTTGGTAGATCGAGTGCATGCTTCCCTGCTACATCTCTCATCTCCTCGTCACTGCTCTCTTCTTCGTCGCTGGAATCAGATCCGAAATCTTCGGCCACGACGGTGCTTTCAATTTCATGGTCTGGCAGCATGGATGCCGGCGTGGTCTCACGCGATAAGCCTGCAACGAACTATGCCGGAATGGTACCGATGCGGCAAAAGTGAAGCACGGACATTCAGGAACCCTGTAGCAGCTCAGTGGCGTCCAATGGGCAAGATGCGAGTACCAGTCCCCAGCCGGGAGACCCGGAGGATGTTGCTGTTCCTTTTGTACAGCAAAGCCACAGCAGATCAATGTCAACAAACGGGTCTGATCACCGCAAGCGTCTGACTTTGACGCTTTCTCAACACCTTCTTGCTATTGCCGGGCTGAGTCGCCACGCAGCCAAAAATGCTTTGGCCTTGAGGGACACATTGCCTAAGGTGACTGCGGCACGAGCGGCAACATGGGAAGACACACAGGACGAAAAGCTTGTTGCGAGCAGCTGGCCCATCGTCCAGGCCATCAGAAAGAGCACCACATGTAAACAGGCAAGAACTAACACCGAGCTGGCCAACATGTAGTGAATCCTCCAGCCACGCAGCTGTCGTCACCTACATTGCCCCACAGCGGTCAGCGGTCCTCCAAGTCACTATGTTGAGCACAAGCATGACGATGGGCAGCACGTCAAGGGTACCGTAAATCAGCAGTTGGAAAACCACGTCTGCATACCTCGATGAAGGCCACGCAAACGAACCGCTGCGCAACTTCGAGTGCCTTCGCAAATTACTGGTCCAAGCGGCTTGCGGCAATGTCCCAGCGGCTGTGGCCAGCCACAAACATAAAATGTTCCAGCAGAGATTTCTGCAAAGGACGAAAAACACAATGAGCGCCGGTATGCTTCAAAAGCATCATGACCTCATTGTCATGGGCACTGATTTTTTCTAAGGACCGGCAACTAGACCAACTACAGGGTGCAGCTCAGATGGCGAGAATCAATGGGATGGGCGGACAAACCCACATCGTGTCTTGGAACGCCGTACTGCATGTACGATCCCAGGTATCGCACCATGCAGGAGATTGTTCCGAGGGTCTGTTCCAAATAATGCTATGCTTTGAGGCATACTTCACAGTCCCTGCTATAGTTTTGGTAATCGACTACTAAGCACAAACGTGCTTTGAGAAAACTAGAACAGCCCGCGGGCGCTTCGCCGACTATCACGCTGCCAAGTTGCGCCAGCTGTCCACTGCCAACAGGAAACAGAATCGCAAGATCTCGCTACCAAGGTTTACCAGCAGCCAGCTTTTGATGAACGTGGCCAGGAAGTGTAGCTGGAAATCCAACGCGTCGGTTGTTTCTCTGTATGTCCGGTACCAGTCCACGTGCCAAAAAAGTATGACTACCAATACAGAGCAAGCAATTGCACAAGCAGCGATCAGCAACAGGTAGGAGTGCCACAAGGAGAGTATTTGCCTTGTCGCATTCCATTGCTCAAGCTTGCGTCTCACTGTGATATCCGTTCGAGTGCTGAGCGTTCGCGTCTCCCGTCTCTGGGTGAATCTGCGGGGCTCTTCTTCAACCTCCGAGGTGTCAAACTGAATGCACGGATCTTCGGACGCGCTGACGTCATCGTCATTTTCCGACATCAATCATGTACTTTGCGGCGGTCATGGCATGGGTTTCCGTCGCCACTCCATTCTGTGTTGGCTCTCCCCTTACTACTTAATCGTGCAGAAGCCCGAGTGTGCTGACAGACTTTTTGTTCACACGGCACGCTTCCTTGCACAGTGCAGCCCGACTGGTTATAGTATCACAAACTGTCGTTACGGTGATGCTGGAGCCAGGAGGGTGGACATGTTGGGAACGGAGAGACTGAGACCATCAAAGAGCAGCGTCCATGGCTCTTCAGACACCGAGCAGGCAGAGCTCCTTTCTAGCGAACCCTAGTCACAGTCATCGTGGGGCCATCATAAATCTGTGTGACAGTCCGTCGCTCCAGTCTCAGAGAACGGCATTCCATCTCGATGTAGCACGACGAAGCCCAATCGCCACAACCTTGGCTGCGGCGCTCGAACGGTGACAAGATGTTTTCCAAGATCTCCTCTTCGCTCCAGTTTCTCTTGGGCCTTGTTCACCCAAAAGGCCCTGAAGTTTTGCGCTACTGTACAAGGCTTCCATGACCGAATGCCAGGGAAAACTCGCGCCCACCATGAGGCGCCGACATTCGCTGTCATGTCGCATGTCCGCCAGGTTCGCAGAGTGCAAGATGCTGCCAGGCAGCCCTCTTGAAACTGCTGAGGTCCCCGAGCAGCGCAAGACGAGTGACCTGTGATGTGAGCGGGGGACTTTCACGCATCAGATGCAATAGATTCGATGCTTTCACTTTGCATCGAGTTCTTGTCCGCGCCTCGCAGCTGTCGTTGGTCAAACTCCCACTTTGTAGCTTGTGTCGAGGAGGCTGTTTATCCGATTCACCAGACCGACGAGGGAACTGAAGACTGTGGCAATGTTTCCTGGACTGCTTCAGCGAAAACCGATGCAAAGCAGAGCATGCAGCTATTTTTGCGCATTAGCAACTGCCCGTGATATGGGACTCGAAGAAGACTGTGCGTTAGCGTCACTCTAACTACACACTGTCTTAGTCTTGCGTTTGCGGAAAAAAGGGCCTTGCCAAGGTACTCTACTCCACCATGTGCCGCGCGTCTCTAACAGTCTGTTGGCGCTCGGGTGGTGTTGCTGCATCTTCTGAGATGAGGGAAGTGCTGGGATGGTGGAGTAGCAGTGGCGCACAGTTGTAGGCACCGTCCAATGAAGTCTAACAGTCTAGCGAAGCTCAGAAGAGTCATCGCGTCATCAGAAGGAAGGAATTGAAGTTTACGGAGAAGTTCTCGGACCCCGTCAGATTTCTGGTCCAGCAGGAATCAGCAGGATTTCATCCCAGCTAAACGGGCTTTCGTCCGTGAGCCAGAGTGCTGTTGCATATGGTCGACTTGCTTGTGCCAGGTGCAGTCTTTTCCTTTCCAAGGCCCACCGATGTCCGCTTGAGTCCTATTCATCATTTGCTATGAACCATCATGAAGGTTATGCTGTTCTATGACATGTCATGACTGGGACCTGGGATGACATGAACGGCGATGAATGCTTGTTTTTGGACTGCTGCTTCTGCATACGTATTTCGCCCATGTATTCAGCTAAGAAGCCCATTACCCAGCAGCCAGAGCCCTGCTTCCAGCTTGGAGGCGGAATTGTCGACCCGGTCGCAAAGCTGCAAAGATTTCTGGAGATCCGCGCGAGGAAGTCTTCCCCGGGGGCTGCTGGGCATGGCGGGCCTGGAACGCAAAGTCGCAATCGTGTTCGTCTTGGGAGAGACATCTGCTCCAAGGTTTCTCGGTAGGGTGCTCTTAGCCCCTCTTAAGCAGAGCTTGTTTTCTCAACCAGACTCCTCCACATACTTTCTGATCTGGCCCAGATGCGACGAGGTCCAGCAGTAAGGTCTTGACAGCCTGGCCCATGGGTTGTTTGCTTCAGCGGTTGCGCTCATCTCGACCGCTCTGAGTCACCTTTCACCATTCATCTACAAGGAATAGCCGCATGTCAAATCGCGAACCTGCGACTCGCATGACTCATAACTAATCACTTCCCCGTTTCATTAAACACAAGCCTAGTAATAAAACCCAGGCAACACCAACCAGTGGATTTTGGTGCCATCAAACTTCTGGAGGATGTGAATGTCCCTTGTCAATCCGTGCAAGAGCGTGCCTTTTGGCCCGATGCCGGGGATATGCTCCGCAGTCCCCTGTCATCTTGAACGAAATTCTCACCGCCTTCAGTCCAATCTCCCAGACCGAAGATCCAGTTTGGCCCTTTGTGGTTCGCATCCCTGTGCGGCCTTGGGCACAGATTTTTGGTGACTTGAATGGGCGTTGCTTCCCCAACTCCGAGCTGTCTCGCGTACAGCCATGGCTGCGTGCGGATGCACCTGGGCAAGCAGGAAACCACCAGCGGTTTTCATGTGCCTGCTTTCCTAAAACGCTAAACCCTAAAACCCCTATTTACCCTAAACCCTACACCCTAAAACCCCTGCACCCTAACACCCCTAAACCCTAATACCTAAAACCCCAACATGCCTGACCCTAAAAACCTTTTTTTGCATCCAGCCTGTAAGAGCCTCTGCTGGGAACCTAAAAACCCTTTTTTTTCACAAGGGACTCTGCTGCTGCCCTTACTGCCCAGCTTGACCCACAAGACAGTACTCATGAAAACCCTAAACCCTAAAACCCTAAGCCCTAAAAAGGGTTCCTAAGGGTTCCGTCCGAATCCTGGGTGCCCTTCATCTGCAGCCAATGCAGATCCCTATGTGCCGGCCCCCGCAGAGAGGGGGCTCTGGGTCGCAACAGCTTTCGGCTCAGGGAGGCGCGCCAGGCCACTGAGGGCTGGCGTGGCAAGCAACAGAGCCCTATGTCGATGTCACCAAGTGGCATCGTAAGCTTTCCGATGTCGATGCTCAGGATTGGCCGCAAGGCTTGAACTCCGACGTTTTGCACTGTCGCACCGAAGAATGCCATCGCCTGGTCGAGTCAAGTTGGGTAAAACACTGGGCACTGTGTCATTGAATGGTCAAGCTGAGGAAACCAACAAATCATCAGGACGGTGATGATAGCGACTTTTTTTGTTCCGAACCTTTCTGATGGGACGGTCATGATGATGATGACGATGATGCTTCAGATCAGGATGACAGTGGTGGTGGTGGTGGTGGTGGTGGTGGTGGTGGTGGTGGTGGTGGCGGCGGCGGTGGGGGTGGCGGTGGCGATTGGTGTGGTCATGATGGTGATGACGAAAACAGCATGATGATAAACGATGATAGCGGTGGTGATGCTGATGATGAAGCCGATAGTGGCGGTGGTGGTATTTTAGTTTGAATGACTGATTCTCTATGGTAGTGTCACATTGCATAATTCCAGCCACGCCATGCAAGGAAGCTCGCTGCTACGGTTTACCCATGCGCTTCCACGAACGAGGGTTTACCCGCCTGGCTCACCAACGTTTGCACAATCTGCGTAGCACTACCAATGATCGTGCTCATACCTAAGTCTTCATGCACTCCATGTCTACCGCGTGCCCGAGTGAACCCTCTCGACGGTTCTCGAAAACTCAACTCTGCCATCCGAAAGACGTCGAGCCGTACGGGGACAGCCAAGATGCCCGGCGCCCAAAGCTGTGTGCCCGGGATGAGCCCCAGTGTGGGCCTGTCTTTGCAAATAGGAAGAGGCAGCATGGAGCATAAGATTTCACAACTTGCTGCCGGTGGCAAGCTCGAACTCGCTGGAACTCTGGAGCTAGAGATGGTCCTGGCTCTATCCGCCCATCGGCCCATCGTCTTGGAAAAGGAGCATTCACGCCTTGGCTCTCAGATGGTGTGTTCTTGGATAGGTTTCTTGAACATTGACGATAGCAGACTTCAAATTGTCGGGCGATGTCATGCGCTTCATGTGCTCGGGCAGCGCACTCTGCCAAGAAGCAAATCAGCTGCGCAGTTCCCCAATGATCCACCACTGCCCCTCCGGCTCTACCGAAAGAGTTCCGAGTCCTGCACAAAGGGTATGCGAATCCCCAAACCGCGAGTTTACACAGAAACTATGTATGTATAAATGAGGGAACACAGCAGCGCATAGAAACTATAACAACTTGAATACAAAAATACGTACATCAAAAAACATCAGTACAATACACGCGCACGTATGTCAAGCTCCAGACGTGCGAATTAGCCCGGGTGAAACTGAGTCTGGCATACAACATGCCTAGATATCTATGATATCTAGGTGGCTTAGACGTGGACGTATATTAGGAGGTACTCGGAGCGTAGTAGCAGGGATGCTAATTGACTCTCGCTTGTGAGGCCTCAGAAATCCCGCGAGGGACCCCAAGCTTTCGGAGGGATTCCGACCATCCAGGCCTGATCAACAGAAACGTTCAAAAACAGAAGATCGAACAAGAGACTGAGCATGACTGAGCCTCTGGCAGATGCCCGTCGGTCGAGATCCTGCATGAACTCCTGACAGCGAGCACAAGCACGCCAACAGCGCACAAGCTCAGGCTGCGAAAGAGCATCCTGCAGGTGGGCTGAGATGCGCAAGAGGTGATCACGGCTCTCGTCTGGAGCCTTCACAGGTAGACAGTCTGGACAGCTGCGAAAGTCCAAGGGGCAACTCAGAGCCTCTGTGCCAGGAGGAGAGCCGATGCTTGCAGGCGGCCGACGAAGAAGTGGTTGCGTGACATGGAAGATGCGTCCTGGATTGCGCATTGCAAGCTGCAGATTCTCACGGCGAAGTTCGATGGAAGGCCAACCCAGCTGCGAGAACGAGAACTGCAAGTTGCGCTTCCAAGCCCGTGGGGCGGGTTGGTTGCGCTTGGCCAGCATGGCCGCCCTGTTTGACTCATTCATGTCATCCCAGCTCAAGCTGCCAGGGTTGTACACCCAATGAATCTTCGCCAGTTTCCGGTCGTCCTCCACGGTGGCATGTTCGTGCAAAGTGTTCGGCAATGCCCAGCCAGCCACGGCTGGATGCGTTGCCTGATGCTCGTTCAGCAAACTTTCTACCACGCCAGACTTTGCCGGCACGATGTCCGACTGCCCCTCGCGCACAATTGAGCCATCGTGAGCAAATGGTGCAATGCCGACACGGTCGCGCAAGTCTATGTCCTGAAAACCTGAGCCAAGTATGCCTGGCTCCTGGTCGTAGCCATTGATTTCCACGAAGGCCGAAGCACGTATCGCAAGTCGACCAGTCGTTGCGGACTGCTTCCCTCGGCACCCCAGCAGCTGCAAAGTTCGTGACCTAAACCTCAAAAGCACCGCCTCAGCAAAGCTTGGCGGCAAAACGATATCGCAGTCCAGATTGACAAGCACGTGCTGACTGAGGTCACCGTCCTCGTCCTGGGGGTCTATGTCTATGCACTCAATGCCAAAGCGATGCGAGGTGTTCTTTGCAAAGCTCGCGTGGAAGTAACCGTCGGTTTGACGAATATCGGCGAAACATAGCCTCACATCCAGCTCTTCTGTACCCTGTAGGCCAAGAACAGTGTAAAGCCTTTGCAGGCACTGTTGCTCCGAACCATCTTCTGCCAGAACAATGCACCATCGCAGCCTTGCACTGACCCTGTGTGCAGAGTTGGCCAAGGTGACCTGTGCTCGTTGCAGTGGCATCACAATAGCAGTAGTAGCAGCAGCAGCAGAAGCAAATCCCAGATTGCCCGTGATTTACATGAGAAGCCTCGTTTTAGGGTGCTGGGATGCGAATTCAGACTAACTCAGCTGATGGAACTCATAGGTGCCTCTGTTTCGGAATGGGGGGCAACTGATTACGCTCAAGTTCAGGTTTGCGATAGGCTGCTTGGAGAAGTATTTGTGGCTTTTTCGGAGTTCGGCTTAGGGCTCAGGGTTCGAGGCTTTTAGTTTGAGGACAGGGCCTAAAATTCTTGAGTCAGGAACTTCGTGGCTGCTGCTGTGTCGCAGCTCAGACTTGGCCCTATGAGTCTCAGAGCTTCTGCTCATTCCTCGGGTGATCGGGGCTTCACCATGAGCCAATGGCCTAGGGAATAATAGGGGGTGGCAGCATCAGTAGTTGTCGTCGACGACGTGGTGGTAGCCGTAGTCGTCGTCTTACAGTAGCGGTCGCAGTGCGGCAGTAGCAGTAGCAGTAGCAGTAGCGGTAGCAGTAGCAGTAGCAGTCGTAGTCGTAGTGGTAGTAGTAGTAGTAGTAACTTAGCAGTAGTAGTTGCTGTTGCTGTCGTAGTTGTACTTGCACTTGTAGCTGTAGCCGTCGTTGTAGCTGCTGTTGTGGTTGTTGTTGCTGTTGCTGTTGCTGTTGTTGCTGTCGTTGCTGTTGTTGTTTCTGCTGCCCAGGCTGTTGTGGTTGTTGTTGTTGTTGAGCCCGCCATGCTTGGAGCCCGCTCGCGCAGAGTTCAATGGCAAAATTGGTGATGTTGCTGTTGTTGTTGTTGCGCGGCGCATTTGGTGCCACGAAGGGTGGAGCTATGTACATGGCCGTCTGGACAAAAAATCTGCGCTTTGCATTACGTATGTTCGATTTCATGGCTGCGCTGTGCCAAAGCTCGACCTTTCGCCTGTGGCAGTTCGGACTTCTATGGGTATTCGTGCAAGTCGGCTGCTTTCTTCTTTGGGCTTGCTGTGTCTGTTTTTGCTTCCGTGCAGGGGTGGGGAGGGGGTAGGGGGATGGGGAGGGGGAGGAGGGTGGGGTGATAACGTCCATGTGAATGCGGCTTGCATCTAGTGTTTCTCTTTTTGCTCCGTGCTGTACAGGCGCCAGGGCCAGATTCAAAGCAGTATTCCCCAAACCAGATTGCCCAGACCGTGATGAAGATGGTGAGGATGATGTTGATGCTCCTGGTCAAGACGGCTACGATGGTGTTGGTAAGTATGGTGATGATAATGCTGATGTTCTTGCCTGCTCATGCAAAGGATAACGATGGCGATGATGACGATAATTATAAGAATGATAACAATAACAATGACAACAAAACTTTAAAATGAACACGAATTGAAGCAAGAAAAAGCAAGCAAACACACTGCATTTACGACGCTTCCGCAAATATCACCAAAAAAGCATTGGACAACGTCAAGCCGGGAACCCAAAAACCAAACCATTCTTGAGGCATGAGGGAGAGCAATGATCCAAAGCAGTGCTTTCGATTTCCTGTGACGTGAGCACAGCATCTGAAGCCAGCGAGCAACCCTGTGACGATCCCAGGAGAACGCTCGGCTCCCCGCCTGTCCCCGTCCACCACCACGTCCTCCCGCAAACGCTCAACCCGTTCACGACCACGCGAACGCTCGGCACCCAAAGCTCCCCACCCGTCCCCGTCCACGGCCACGTCCTCCCGCGAACGCTCGGCACCCAAAGCTCCCCACCCGTCCCCGTCCACGGCCACCCGCGAACGATCGGCACCCAGAGCTCCCGACCCGTCCCCGTCCACGTCCTGCCGCAAACGCTCGGCACCCAGCTCCCCATCCGTCCTCGTCCACGCTCAACACCCAGAGCTCCCGTCCCCGTCCGCAACCACGTCCTCCCGCGAACACTCGGCACCCCCAGAGCTCCCCACCCGTCCTCATCCACGGCCACGTCCTCCCACGAACTCAACACCCAGAGCTCCCCACCCGTCCCCGTCCACGTCCTCCCGTGAACGCTCAACACCCGGAGCTCCCCACCCGTCCCCGTCCACGGCCACGTCCTCCTCCAGCTCACCAGCCCGTCGAAGCGATGCGGTGGACGCGTCCTCTTGATTCCTCTTGGCTAAAAGGCTTTTTCGGTCCACGGCAACGTCTTGTTGTGAACGCTCCCCCGCGCGAAGGAGAGACTAAACAAGAACCCAACCCTACATGGCATTTTGGGAAAAACGGAACCCACTAGTAGTAGTAGTAGTAGTAGTAGTAGTAGTAGTCGTCGTCGTAGTAGCAGTAGTAGTAGCAGCAGCAGCAGCAACTAGCAGCAGCAGTAGCAGTAGCAGTAGCAGTAGCAGTAGCAGTAGCAGTAGCAGTAGCAGTAGCAGTAGCAGTAGCAGTAGCAGTAGCAGTAGCAGTAGCAGCTTGGTGGCAGTATGATGGTGGCAGTGGTAGTGGTAGTGAGTGGCAGTGGTAGTGGTGGTGGCAGCGGCAGCGTTAACGGTAAGGGTAGCGGTAGTAGTCGTGAAAGCAGCAATAGTGGTGGTAGTCGTAACCGTTTAGATTTAGTGTTCGTGGCGGCACTAGCTACGGTGGCAAGGAGTAACGAGCAGTAGAAGCTGAAGAGGCACCTTGCAGCCTGGGCACTATATTGGGCAGCAAGATGTTACGGAGTTGCCAGCTTCGTCTCACGCAGGCCGTGCAAAATGTGAGCGAACGAATGGGCGAGACGCTGCGCTCTTGAGGTGTTGTCAAGCTTGCCGCAACACGCTGGATTTCGCGATCCAGTTCGCCAGGCAGCTGCCACTCCTGAACGAATCCGATGCTGTCAGAGATCTTAATTCCTCGTACTGCCGCTTGCTCCTGACTCTTCTGCTAATCTGCAGCTGGGGCGCCATCCGATGTTGTGACAGTTTCTCATGGTGCGCAACAGACGCCAGGTGCGCCCTGGCCTGGTCCAGACTCTTTGGCCGTTTACCACACAGGCGGCAGATGTATGTGCCGTCTGGCACTCGTTCCTGGGAAACACAACAACCAGATCATCGCAACCAGCCGTCTTGAAAAAAGGTCAGATGCAGCATCCAGCTGCCAGGACTGTCGGGAAATTGAATGATTATCATGTGCTTGCTCGTGTGAGTGCCGGCCCTTCGCTGCCAAAGTCGTTTTAATCTATCGAACTCTTATGCACATCATTTCAGCATAGATGCTATGCGATGACTGTGCAGCAGAGCTTGAGTCTGCAAGTCCTCCGCCATGGCCGAACTGCATTGCGACAGGTGGCCAAACATGAGATATCCGCTGACATGCATTCTTTTATGCGTGTATGTTGGCACACGTAAGCCTAGAAGTGAGTGTGTTTGATTGTGTTTGGCCACAGTGGGAGGCCTTGAACGGCCCCGAAGAAATGTGCTTCTTCTGTGCAATTCAATTTAAGAGCAACTGGTAACGGTAACGTATCGAGATTCTCCATTCCACCACTCCTGTGGGCCACACAGCATCAACATGTCATCAACATAATCTTCAACAACACCCACTTCTGACCGCGCAACATCGCATGCAGATTCTTTTGACCCAAGGTGGGCATTCCAAGCTTCGTTCCTGGGGCGCATCGAACGCACGAATCTCCTCGAGCGGGACCGATTGAGATGCGCAAGATCGGAGTGGCGCGCACCAAAGCGGTGCTGTCAGCCCAGGTCTCAGGACATGATTGGCGCACTGGACCACGCTTCTTGCGGCACATTGGCCAACCAGGCCTCGGGGCTCGGAGGCTCCGAATGCAGTGAAATGCACACAGTGAAAAGAGTGAAAAGAGTCTAAGGCTCGCCGACCTGACGCTTTTGTGGCCTTTACATTTTCTATCTCTAGACGTGTACGCGCATACGGATAATTGCAGGGGCATTTCATGTATATACACGTACATAAATGAACGGGACAAGCCTGCGCGTAAGCGTGGGCGCTTGACTTCTTGCTGTAGTTGCCAAACCCCCAACATACCACTACACTCCCACACTGAGCCACGGGCTCCGGCGATTCTGTCCAGCTCCTGCTCTTTCAACAATTGAGAGCGGTGACTGGCGCTAGCGTGGAATCCAAGATCTGCTGCTGAGCGATGTGCCTTCCATGCTCGGCTGTCGCCGGCAGAGATTTGCAGTGCCCGGAGGACCTCCAAGCCAGAGTCGCATTAGGCAGGTCAACACAGTCTTCCAACTGCCTTTCGCGTTGTTGAATTAAGCCGCTTATTGTATGCATTCGGGCAAACATTGGTCTGCCACCGAACTGACCCAACTGGAGTACCGCAATCACAGCTTCAAGATAATAAACAGCGATTCTCCGAAACCAATTCTTCAATTTGGCCTCTTGGTCACTGTACTTGTTCAGCTCGAGATCTCGCGTGTCCTCGTGAGCCACAACGGCAGCAACGACTTGACACCCATCACGATGTCCGTTCCTCCGGCGCTGGAGGATCTTGCTTGCTCGGACGTGTAGTCGTTGCCTCCCAATGCCACGATTGCAAGACAGGAATGCGGCTCAGCACTGTGCAGGATTGTACCATGCCTCGATGTGGCCGATAACCTGCGCAGAAGCAACCGCAAATCGCACTAATCGCAGGACGACTACATGTTTGCCTTGGTCACCTCCTCGGCTCGTGAAGGAGCCGGCTCTGCCGCAAGTTCTTGCGGGTCCTCGCTTCCGCCAGTGAATTGGTAAGCTGCTTTGACGTGACACGATGACAAGGTCCGTTCCTGTGGAAATTGCGGCTCTGGCCTACCCGGCAAGGTAGTCGTCCCCTGCCACTGTCACAGATGCGAGGTCGCAAGCAAGAGACAGGGAGCGAGAGAGAGAGAGACAAAGGGAGAGGGAGAGAAAGAGAAAACCTGTTTGAAGATTCTTCGCTCTTGGAGGAGCGGCGGCTGGTTCTACAGCAGCATCGAGATGTTCCCAGAGCTGCTTCCAATGCTTCGAGCAGGCAGTGGTGAAGGATCCGTACTGGTACTGATACTGATATTGGTCCTGATGCTCATACCGATAATGATACTTGTAAAGAACAATGGTAATTTCGTAAGAACGGTTATACCTGCAGAGGGTGAGGGATCAAAAAAAAATTAAATCAGGATCAAAAAAATTAAACCACAAAGATCAAAAAAAAATTAAAACCAGGATCAAAAAAAATTAACGCAGTAGGAATGCAACAAAGCTTGGGAAAAA